CTTCATGAAGATTGGACTCACTGTAAAGAGTGGAGGCCATGCTCCGACATTCCTGGTGGGGCATACACCAATACCAGGTACACAAGACCTTCACAGACCAAACCCACTTAGGCAAGCTTCACAAGGGGTCTTGTTCCAGCAAAAGAAGCTRAAACTGAGAGAACTTTAAAGGGTACTGGAGGTACTCCCAGCGCCAACCYGCACACACTGTTCTAGGGGCTTCAAAATGTAAGAGGCATAGCCACCGTGACCCTAGGGTGAGGAACACTGGAGAAGGATGCCACACAGGATGGCACATTAACAGGCATAATCCTGGGGTACAACACAAAGCTGTCCTCACTCCAATCAAATACTGAAGAGCATCAAACCAGCCCCCTCGGGACACCAAGCTCGGTGCTGTTGTGATACAGRACCAGGACACCAGCTTATCTCTGAACCCATTCCTTCAAGTTTCCCCCMAAATTCTCAGATATAAGATTCCTAAGTGGCAAAAGTGTGGCCTCAGAGGCCAATGTGAAGCATCGATTTAGAATCAATAGCAATATATATATATATATACATACACACACACACACACATACAAACTGGGTGGAATAAAAATAGGTGGCTATTATTGAACCTAGAGAAACTCAAAGGCCTGAAATCTGTCTCTTCAAGGGCAAATGACAATTTCTCCATCACTGCTGTTCAGCTTCCTTAGGTTGGTAGGTAATGCTTTTATTTTTGTATCATGAAATATAACATGTGAACACAGGAATATATGAAATATATATTTTTAAGGAAGAAGAAAGTAATCATGTGAGATCCACCCAGGCTAAGAAATGACGTGGCCCTAGAAACTTGCTCTATGTGCTTTTCCTCATTCCCATTTCCTCACTACCAAGATAATCATTCTCCTGAATGCAGGGTGAATTATTCCTATCCATTTCTTTGATCTGCTCTGTGTTTTGTTGAGATGGGGTCTCGCTATGTTGCCCTGACTGGCCTCAAACTCCTGGGCTCAAGCCTAAACAGCTGGAACTACCACACGCCAGCTTCCCCATCCATTTTTTATAGTTTTACCACCTATGAAGGAATATAGAATAAATGTATTGTTTAGTTTAGCATTTTTTTAATTTCATATAAATGGCATCACACAATCTTTTTTTCCTGTGATCTAGTTCTCATGTTCACATTTTTCTGAGATTCTACCATGTTGACCTAACTGACTTTCTTTTTTTTTTCTTTTTTTTCTTTTTTTTAAAGTGTGTGTGTGTGTGTGTGTGTGAGAGAGAGAGAGAGAGAGAGAAAGAGAGAGACAGAATTTTTAATATTTATTTTTTTTCTTTAGTTCTCGGCGGACACAACATCTTTGTTTGTATGTGGTGCTGAGGATCGAACCCAGGACGCACAYATGCCAGGCGAGCGCACTACCGCTTGAGCCACATCCCCAGCCCCCTAACTGACTTTCAACCACATTTACTATGGGAAAATATTCCACTGTAGGAGCATACAAGTTATATTAATTGTTTATTAATTCAACCAGACCCACTATCTGCTTGCAAACAAATTTATGTCATATGAATTGTGCTATAATGCCATGCTGGCTTCCATGTGGCAGACCAGATGGTAGACAATTAGAGATACTTCACCCTATTGTTCTTCAAGAGTAAGATACCAGACTAGAGATATAGTTCAGCTGGTAGAGTGCTTGCCTTGCATGCACAAGGCCCTGGGTTCAATCCCCAGCACCAAAAAAAAAAAAGTAAGATCCCAGGGATTTTTGAGATCTGGCTCAGCAAGCAGATGATAGCTCTGCCAAGTAAGTTTGGTAGCTGAATCCCTCAGAGCAAACCCTCCACAGTCCCAGTTCCATAGCTCTACAAAGGAGGACAGAGAGGAAAGGAGAGGCTGCTTTGACACTGCAGTCCTCACCTTCATGGACACGTCAGAGCACCTTTGCTTGATCATGGTGCACAGAACCAAGTCCAAGAAAAGCCTACCCTTCAGACAGTGAAAGCTAAATATTTAGTCTATGAGGCAGCAGGCAGAAGCCCATCATTCTCCCTGCYCCAGAGAAGTAAGAAAGCAGAGTATTGCCCTTGAATCTCAAAGGTTCAACTCACCACCTCCCACCCTCAGCCCTTGATAAATACATTGACAATGCCTCACTTCTCAGGTTTGGGGGGGTGTGCACACAATAGCCTCCAGGTGCAAAGAAAAACCAAAGCCACCTTCAACAAGGGCTCCTGGGGATGGAGGCCCTTAGAAGGACATACCTCATCTCAGCTGATTCCAACAATAGCCCTGGGAGGCAGGTGATATCCTCTTTTTACAAGCCAAAAAAAAAAAAAAAAAACAACTAAGGCTCTGAGAAGTTTAGTGATACAGCAAGTAAATAACAGGCCAGGATTTGATCTACACTTTTGGGTTCCAAAGCCCTATACTCTTGACCAGCAGACTACTCTATTAACTGCAGAAGTAAGCATATGTGCACAGTGACCTTACACATGCAGAAGATACTGCCTTTGGGTCATATTTCCAAAAAATRTTTGCTGCTGAATGGCAGCAGGCTCTATATGAATACAGACTAAACATTTAGATGTCAGAGACATGTGAAAAATTCAGACTGAGTCCACTAAAGTGCTGCAACAGCTCAGCAGACTGAGGAAGACTCCCATGCCACCTAAGCTCTCCAGAAGTCCCTGGCCCCTCAATAATTCACTGGACATTAACCACCAATAACATCTACCATGCAGGATGGGCACAAGTGCATCCCATCCATTGAACTCTGACTGCTGTTTTAACAGGCAACAATCCTCAGTGCAAAGAAGGGTTATCAGGATCTATGAATTTCAAGGTTGATAAACTAGAGAAATTCAGAGACTAGCAAATAGGTTGACAATTGAGAGTCTAAACTTGTTAAGAGCCAGACTCTGCCTCCCAGAGGCAAAATTAACATCGGTGTGTTTGACACAAACTTTCCAAGTTCAACTAAAAAACCAAGCAGAGGTCACTAAGTACCGAAGCTAAAATGGCATCACTAGGGAAGAGAAATTCTAGAGCGTTCCTTGCCCCAGCTGGCCACCACTGAGGAGACAATCATGTGAGATCTCATCTGCGTCATGGAACAGGAACAACTTCTCTTCTCCRAGATATTCAAGAACACCAAGGCAATAACAGTTCTGGATCATTCCTTTGCTGACACAAGATTTGCAATCATATTGCCAATCCTAACCCTATAAGACCTGACTACTTTTTCCACCTTGTAAGCCATCTAGCAAGTCATGGAAAGTGAGAATGGTCTTCAGAGTGTTATATAACACCTTTGCAGAGACTTGGAGAAATGACATCAGGGAATGGCCCTTCAGTTTCCAATGATGTTACAGACAAAAGATCCTCTCCTGCCCATCCCACCCAGACACTTTCCAGTTACCACACCTTCATAAACCCACAAAACCACCACTCTGGAGAAGTTCATTGCTGTCCTCGGAGGAATATGTCGAGATACCATTGGTAGGGGCTAGGGCTGTAGCTCAGTGGTACAGCACTTGCCTCACATGTGTGAGGCACTGGGTTTGATCCTCAGCATCACATAAAAATTAATTAATTAATTAACTAACTAATTAAAATAAAGGTATTGTGTCCATCTACAACTAAATATATATATTTTATATATATATATATATATTTTTTTTTTTTTTTTAAAGATGCCATTGGTGTTGGCTGAAATTAAACTCCATTTTTCAAATCATTATTCCCATTCTCTGGGATGTATTTGGAAAAAAAATTCACCCACTCTTAGTAGATAATAAAATTTACAAACTATATTCATATGATTATTCTTTTCTTTAAACTTCCCTTGAATGTCTGGGGATTTTGTGCATTGTTATRAACAAACAAGCACAGGGCCCAACCCGATTCTGCGGCTCTCTAGTACACTTAAAGCTATTCTCCTACCTAAAAATTAGGTTGCCATGGAAATGAGTTTTGCACCATTAATTCAAGTAAAGGTGGGAATTCCATTCAAAGAAATTACATAATTTGCGATATGCATAGCAATTATTATATAACACAGACTCTTAAGTACACAAGGTTTTAACCAACACTCAAAAGGGTCCACTGGCCAGGCACAGTGGCACACGCCTACAATCCCAGCAGCCCAGGAGGTTAAGACAGGAGGATCAAGAACTCACGTGAGGCACTAAGCAACTCAGCAAGATCCTGTCTCTAAAAAGGGCTAGGGATGCAGCTCAGTRTTCATGTGCCCCTTGGTTCAGTCCCCGCTATCTCCCCCCAAACAAAAATCCACTGGCCACCCCCCAAAAAGAGAAACACTTGATCAGAAAATTTCACAGCCAAAGTCCATGTTCCAAGTACTTTTATACGAATGCCAGAAGGACAACTAGGTTCACCATGGCCCCTGATGTATAAAAAAACAATCAAGTTCTCTGTTCAACAGGTTCTTTCAGCCTGGCACAATGGCACACACCTATAACCCCAGCGACCTGGGAGGCTGAGGAAGAAGGATCACAATTTAACAAACCCTATCTCAAAGTGAAAAATAAAAAGGACTGGGGATATAGCTCAGTGGCAGAGCACCACCCAGGACCACACACACACAAAAAAAAAGTTCTTTCATCCCTACAACCAATTTAATTAAACCCAATCTCTGCCAAGGAACCAATGAACCTTCAAAGAATCCTGAGGTCCCTACTCCCCTCTGGAACTCTTTTTTTTTTTTTTCAATATTTATTTTTCAGTTTTTGGCAGACACAACATCTCTGTATGTGGTGCTGAGGATCGAACCCGGGCCGCACGCATGCCAGGCGAGCGCGCTACCGCTTGAGCCACATCCCAGCCCCCCCTCTGGAACTCTTTATCATAGCAAATCAGGTATAAGATATCTGAAAATTTCCAGTAGTTTCTAACATAAATGGTTTTTTTGCAACTTCCCAGTGTTTCTTCAATAGCTTCAGGCATCTGTCCAACTCCCTTCTCATCAACAAGGGGGGTCTTACCGGGATCTCCCTCCAAAGCAGTTTGTGCTGGGGGGTTGGTGCCGGTTCTCTGAAGCTACAGTTGTCCCACTGGATTCTCTTGAAGGTGGCTGTGATCCTAGAAAGGGGATCAATCAAAGAAAAGGATAGCAACACTGAGAAGCTCAATCCGTTTGAAAGTTGGCTACCAGGCACAGAACTCCCCTGTATTAGTCACCCACATGATGGAACATGAACATGGTGCCTGTTGTAGCCACTGGCACAAGAAATAATAGGGACAATTATGTGAGATCTTATCTGAGACATGGAACAGGAACACCTTTTCTTCTCCAAAACATTCAAGAATACCCAAGGTAATAACAGGCAGATGCCTTCTAAATTAAGTGAACTTCAACCTCACAAGCGTGACAGAGAACAGATGGTAAGCATGCAAAGTGGGGGCAAACAATGGGGGCGTTTCTCCATAGTGCAACCCGAGTTTTTAAAGCTGAATCAGACCATGACACTCTTCTACTGAAAGCCCTTCAGGAGCTTTCTGCCTCTCGGAAGGGGGTTCAACACCCCTACCATGGGCTCTAGGCTGCATGACCTGAGTGGACCTGCCTCTCCAGCCTCACCTCCACCACCCTCCGTGCTTCTCAGGTCCAGTCACCCTGGCACCTCTGTTCCCATCACAGGTTCAGCCATGCATTTTCCCCATGCCCCTTCCCCATGCCCCCAGCTTGGTCTRTCTAAGCTTCTCATCTTTTGGATTTCAACTTCCTCAAGGAAACTTCCCTGATCCCCCAGCTTAGACGAGATTCCCCAGAGCAATCTCATACTACTCTGTGCCTTCTCGTCCACAGCTTCTGACAGGTAATTATTTACATATTTATTCATTTCACATCTAACTTCCCAAACAAGTAGACTATAAACTTCAAAAAGTGGAAGTAATATGAATTTTGCCCATTATCATCTGGCTAGCACCTGGACTAAGACGTAGTATACATCAGTGCTCAGTTATGTATYTCTGTGTTAAAGAAGTGACTGATACATGGTTTTTTCTCCATGCACCAAAAGTGCCCAAAGTACTGCTCAGCCTAGTGGAGGAATTCTTGCCAGCAGCCAAGGTCCAGCCAACCACTGAGATTCGTCTAATGGCCCTTGAATTAGAATTCAAATTTCACCCTTTTAARGGTACAGAACACCTCTCTGGGGCCCTTAAAAGTACCACAGTTACATCACATCTAACAAAAGATTTATTGAGAAAAATTATGGAGAAATTCAACTCATATCAAACCTCAGACTTCATTAAATAATTTCCTGCTAGATCCAAAGGTGATCAATTTCAGATTAGAGAAAAAGAAATAAACTACCAACATTTAGGACAGGTGGGAAGGAACGCTCTCCGGTTTTCCTATGCTGGCCTGTCTTTTGCTAGTGTGCATCTCTACAGGGCACACAGTCCCCTCCCCAGCTAATACCATCTCATAAAAACACCCTCAACGTCTCCAGGGATTTAACAGTATTTGGGAGAAGAAAAATGGACCAAACTCACTTTTGCTAAAGATGTTTTATTTTCCAAAGTCCATGTGGAATTAAAAGATGTTTTTCTYTGCTCTCAATCCAAACAATAACACAAAGATGTGACATTTATTTTGGTCCTTGATCAGAAAGCAGTCCTTGAAAAATCATGTCGTGATTTTGAACTGGGAGGCTATGAAGAGTCTGGGCCAGCTGTGAGCCAGGACTGGTTAAGCAGTTCCCAAACCAAGACGTCTGGTGGTGAACCCAGCTCTCAGCATCTCCTGCCCCCTGCCCGGCCCGCCCTGTCCCGGCACAGCCCTGGGGAGCAGGGCGGCACTCACCGTCTGTCACGGCACTGCCATTAGGCACATTTCCCAAATCAACAGTTGGCCCGTCCAGGAAAATTGTCAGCTCTCCGCCTGAGACAACACTGCCTTTGTTCTCCGTCTGCAGGTTCAGCGTCAGCTGCGTGTTCTCCACTGTTGGGTACAAAATGCAACATGGATGGACTAAATCAAGTGCACCCTGAATTATGATTCTGTGTATCAGAACCTTCCACTTGGCCTACTCTGGCTTCCCTAGCAACGTTTTCCCTTATCTTCAAATCTATCTCGTGGAAGGAAAAATAAAGAGCGAGAAGGAACCTGCCTATGRTAATCGTGGTTCCATTAAGCTGGTGGGGAAACAGTTTTCTTTTTTTTTTCCTAAACATTTTCTATCACTAGGTTAACTACACAATTTCTACATGACTGATTTGTTTGCATATAGTTGTARGACTGTGAGGGGAGAGTAGGGATATTGATGGCCTGCTGAGTTGGAAACTGATTGCAAGAAGCATCCCACTACCCATAGAAGAACGAAGGGAAGAGAAACAGGCCAGACCCTAAGGAAACTTCAGCAAGAGACCTCTTTAGAGCTTATTCTTTTCTCTTTTGTGATAAAAGATGGGGTTTTTTGGTCTTGTTTTGTTCTGTTTKATTGGTGATGGGGAGCAATCCTAGGCCTCATGCATGCTAAGCACATKCTCAATCACTAGGCTACACCCCCAGCCCCAAATGTTTCTAAAATTTTTAATCCTGCTGGGCATGATGATGCATGCCTGTAATCCCAGTTAATCAGGAGGCTGATAAAGGAGGATTGCAAATTCAAGGCCAGCCTCAGCAACACAGTAAAACCCTTTTTCAAAATCCAAACAAACAAACAAAATAACATTTGGAATATAGAGGACATTTTTAAAACAATAAAAGCTCAATACAGACAAGTCAGTGTCATCAATCCTATGAGGAGAGACCAGCCAACTAGAAGACCAGGTAAGAAGCAGTTTGGTCACCCAGCCCCTAGGCTACTAGGCAGAATCAGCCCTGGGGGCAAATAAAAAAAAAAAAAGATGGGTAATCATGGCAGAAAAATGGAACAAAAAGAAGCAGCAGAAGCACTAACCCTAAGCGGACTAGAAATTGCTGCACACACCCCTAAAGCCATACCACCAGGCCTGGCACACTGAAAAGCTTCCATCCAGATAAATATTCTGTCCACACTGAACACTTCAGTTCTGTTCAGTGGAATCCGGTCAGGAGCTGTAACCTCCAAAAGCAGCAGCTTCAGCTCTCCATGGGCCTACAGCCCCACCACTCCTGCCCACGCTTTACTAAACCGATGGAAGAAAGTGCCACACCCTGGAACCTTCCTCCTTGCCCACCCTACACCCAATCCACCACTTCCTTTCATTTCCTAGTTGATACTGTACTATTACAATCTAACTTACTGTTTTCCAGAACAAGGCTCAGTGTGTCTACGTAAGTGTTTCTACAAACATAAAGGTGAATTTGMGCACTTTCCAAGGATAAACACCCCCCACCAAGAAATAATAGAACAAAAAGTMAGTTTCAATTCTAAAAAACAGACATTACCTTAAGAACTTAGCAGAAAAGTCTGAATCAATTCAAGGATCTCTTACAGAATATAGGAATCAGTTACCTTGCAGGCTCTGGGCTTTTCTAATACTTCCTACCATCCCTTCATCTCTCTTTCCTCTATTGATCTCTCCAATTCTTCTTTGCATGTGCTATTTTCAGACAGTTGGGGCCAAGGGCCTGGTAAGTTCTAAATGKTTCTATGAAATAACACTTGTACCTTAGAAACCAGTTCTTTCTAGAGTCAAAGAGAGGCTTTCACCACTAGCCCCACTTCATGAATATGAGTGCACCATCTTGGCAGAGGAGCCTAAGGCCCCAGGCGAGCCCTTGGGTGACTGCAGCTCAGTCCACATGTCACTACAATTTGGTGTGCAAGATCCCAGGCCAGGCCACACTGCTGAGTTGCTGCCAAATCCTGAATCACTGAAACTATGCAATGGTAAATATGTGTGTGTGTTTATTTATTTATTAAAGTCAGGGAGTGTCTCCCCACTCCTATCCCCAGGCACAATCCAACACCTAAGTCTCTAGCAACTCAGCAGGAGCGCTGAGTGGGCAGGCACAGTCAGGCCCCATGGTTCCAGTCTCAGTGCTACCTACCACTAAAGAACTCAGTAGCAAAGTACTCAACTTGAGCATTGATTTCCCTGCCTGCACTTTCTGCAGAAGACACAGGTCGAGAACTTAGCAGCACCTGGTAATCTGCTAATATGCTGCCATCCTCATCGTTTGATTTCCCTTGGTCTAACTTAGCATTCCTTGCATGGTCACTCTAGCCCTTTCTCAGACTTTTTTAGGTTATAACAACAAACTCCACAAAATCTTCCAAGGTAAGCCACATAACTACCAAAGGACACACTGTCTTGTCTTATTCCTAGAACACCTCCCAAAGACACCCAGCCTTTTGGATTCAACAGTACCACTGTTGGAACTGTGTTGATATAAACATTCTAGAAAGGCTCCCTGGATTCTCCCCCTGACATCCCAAAGCCCATCAATTTGTAAATGGAATATGAGCATGTTATCTTCCTTCCTGGAGGGATGATAATGTTTAATGGAAAGGTAGAGGAACAAAAGGCCCAAGTTACTAATTCTGCCCTCCATGATGATCACACTGCCATGGTTCTCTAAAATCACAGATGTAATTTGAATTTTTCTCTCTGTGGTATCATCTTAAAGTTCCAATCCAGCTCTTCTGTCAAGTTTATCCACTAATGTCTTCAGCAGAGTCATATTCTTACAGGCTCAGAAGTTACCTTATAGCACTTTTAGACACATTTTACCTTCCAAATCAGTGGTGAGAGAAGTGGGGTTTTGTTTTTTGTTTCTCTGTGTGTGTGTGTATGTGCGTGTGTGTGTGTGTGCACGTGTGTGCACAAGCACGTGTGTTTTCCTTTAAATTAAGTTTTTGAGAACATAATCCTCCACTATTATACTACAAAGAGAGCCCTCTGGTGATATCATAAGCAGGTGATCAAGTTTAGTGTCACCAAAAAACCCTGATGCCACAGGTTTCCTGAGGGGATTCAGTATGAAGTACACAAGGTCACTTTTAAAGTTCTCTTACTAAAAGCATTTAACCTGAATCTAATCAAGCCTCTAAACCTACTTTCCAGTTCACATGAACTAAAGGTTAGAGAAACAGTTTGAATGATACCACAAGACAACCAGACAAATCCAGAATATGGGACATCTGTCAGATAACTCTCCTGGACTCTTTAAATGAACAAAATAAAGATCCACCAACAACTAAAACAAACTTATAACAAAAAGAAAGAATGAAAGAAAACCAACAAATACTATTTATGAATTTGTATTAAACCTTAGTTTAAAAAAAATTCTTTGGATAATTAAATAAATTTGCAAACAGACTAGATATTATTAGATGGTTCCTGAAGTTACTATTACTTTTCTTAGGTTTGACAGTAGCTCTATGATTTTAAATAAGAACATCCTTATTCTTGGGAGATGCCAAGTGGATTATGAGGATACTCACACTTATTCTCCAAGAGAATAGGCTGAAGATATTAGAAGTGAAGTGTCATGGAATTTTCAATTTATCTTCAAATGGTTCACAGGGGAAAATGCACACAGCCCCACACTCACACATACCAATACGAGATGTGGTAAAATGTCAACTGTGGGATCTAGGTGGAGGGAATTTGGATGGTCGTTGTATCACTCTTTGAAATCTCTGTATGTTTGCAAATTTTATAATAAATGGTTGCAAATTTTATAATAAAGGGTTGGAAAGAAGAACTTTTTTTAAAATTGGCAAGAATTTTTAAAAAATTAAACCACTAAGAACAGAACACCCTATTATTTTCTTTAAAAAATTAAAATAATTTAAAAAAAAAAAGCCAGAGCCAGGGGAGCCCTACAATGCATAATGGGACTAAAGAAACCATTAGCTAATTGAGTGACAGACTGGAGCATACAAGCAGGCTGAAAGGCTAAGTGTGACTRGAAAACATATCCTGGAATCTTAGTTATAAATAGCCGTCTCCACCACCTCACCTCTGGGCCCTTTGGTTTCACTTCACCACGCTGACAACTCTACAAAGGCCCTTTTACTTCCAGCACTTGTTTCTATTACCTTTAGAGGGTATTACTCAAGAATCAAGAAACCGGTGGGGCTGGGGGTGTTTCTCAGTGGTAGAGTGAGTGCTCAGCATGCATGAGGCCCTGGGCTCCATCTCCGAGAATGACATGAATCCTACTGTAGCACAATCACTGTACTGCAGGAGAAGCGGGGGTGGGGGCAGACAAGACCAGGACACCCAAGCACTGGGGTGGGGGTAGGAGGATCCATCCATGAAAGAGTGGGTAGAGTGGGGCGATTTCCACAACTAGACTTGGAGTTAGCACAAAGCTCACCCACTACTCTCAACCTTGCAGGTCCTGCTTCATCTGAATTCTAGCAGTTCACATTAGTATTGCTATTCTATAGTCACTGTGATTCAACAGAACAAGACAGACTAAAATTTGTGTTCCTGGAGTCTGTATAATCTAACTGGGAGCAAACAGACAATAAGCAATTAAAAAAAAAAAAGCAACCAGTGGCACACACCCGTAATCCCAACTAAGGCTGAGGCAGAAGAATCATGAGGTCAAGCCCAGCCTGTGCAATTAGCAAGACTCTGTCTCAAAATAAACTAAAAAGGATGTAGCCCAGTGGTAGAGCACTTGCCTAGAATGTGTGAGGCCCTGGGTTCAATCCCCAGTGGGGGAAGGAGGGAGGGAGGGAGGGAGAAACCATAATCTGCCAGAAGATGTCAAGTGCAGTAGAAAAAAAAATGAAGCAGGAAAAGGGGATGGAGAGTGCTAGGGGAGACGATTTCAAGTGGAAAAGCCTCACAGGAAGGTAGCAATGGAGCTAAGACTGAAAGCAGGACAGGGGAAGGAATATAGACATCTACAGGAAGAACATCCCAGGCAGAGAGAAAAGCAAATCTGAAGGCCCATGTGAGAGCATACCTAGCCTGTCTGAGAAACGGCAGAGAGGCTAGTGTGCCTGGAATAGAGTGAGGGAAGAGGAACAGGGCAGGCGGTGACAGAGCCCA